AGGGGATAGGCGAATGACGCCAGTCCGTCCGTTTCGGATTTTGGCCTCTACTGACCTATTCTTGGGTACCGAAGACTTGCTACGTTACATGGTTCATAGAGAACACGAACAGCCTACACATGTAGCTACGGAAACAAGAGTTTTCCCTCGGCGACGTCACCAAAGCTTCGAACTTGTAGAAATTATATCATTTTCCTCGGGAAAGAAAGACTCAAATATGGAGGGATCCAGTTCCCGCTTCTCTAACCTCAAAAATTGCATTTTTTGTAGGCAAGCATGATCTTTTTATTCCAGTCTGAAATTTACGAGAACGGGATTTCCAATAATTTTGAGTGGCTAGCGAGAGGGAATAAAAGCAAGCAGTAGTACGCTCGCAGTGATTGCGTAATCAGCTAGTCAGCAAGTCGACGATGCGATTCACATGCATATTTAAACCGCAAATTTGAACATAGTCAGGCGTATATAGTACTAAATGGCCTAGGACAAAGAGCATGTGTCGTTAGTGAAGGCTTTACGGCAATCTTTTGCGGCAGACCTCTTCCAATTAACATAAGCTGCGTATTTACAATATTCTTTTTATGATTTTCTACGTTGTTCCGATGAACAAGAACGGAACAAGACAGAAATGAGCTCTTTACTAAAGACCATCAACTGCCATGTAATGAGTGTAATTCGAAGGAAAGATGGATTGATAAAGTCAGCAGTAAGTTAAGATCCAAACCAAGCCAAGCCAGAGAATGCAGGGCAAACCCACAAATTGAAGAAGTTAACTCTCCACAGACTGTACATCGGCTCCGAGTGACTGATGAAAGGATGAGCGGAGGCTCGCATAGATTATGACCGGTGGCCAAAACATATTTTTCGCATAGACTGAGTCAAAGATGAGGAAGTGCGTGGCCAGGGAACACAGCCAGATTGAGGAGAATCTTTGGGCAAGACGATCCCCTCCTCATTTCCTCCTTCGGGTAATGCTCCCTTTCCCTCATGGTCTGCCATCTTGGCAAATTTTCTCGGGTAAGACTGAAAATTCTACTCTTTCGCTAGTTTCCTTTGCTATTCTTGTCGAGTTACTTGTCCCACCTCG